GGTGGCACGCACCTGTAATTCCAGCTGCTCAGGTGGCTGAGGCAGCAGAATCACTTATATCCAGGCGGCAGAGGTTGCAGTAAACTGAGATCACACCACTGCACTCTAGCCTGGACAACACAGCAAGACTCCACCTCAAAAAAAAAAAAAAAGGCCAGAGCATGGTGGCTCATGCCTGTAATCCCAGCACTTTGGGAGGCCAAGGCGGGCAGATCACAAGGTCAGGAGTTTGAGGCCAGCCAATATGGTGAAACCCTGTCTCTACCGAAAATACAAAAATCAGCCAGGCGTGGTGGTGGGCACCTGTAATCCCAGCTACTCGGGAGGCTGAGGCAGAAGAATTCCTTGAACCCAGGAGGCAGAGGTTGCAGTGAGCCAAAATCACAACACTGCACTACAGCCTGGGCATCAGAGCAAGACTCTGTCTCAAAGAAAAAAAAAGAAAGAATGTTTGTTCAAACTACTATAGAAAACAGTAGAGACATATATTGAAGAGCTAAAAGTGGAACTACCATTTGTTTCTGCAATCCCACTAGGTATCTTCCCAAAGGAAAAGAAATCATTCTATGAAAATGAAACATACACACACGTTTATAGTAGCACAATTCGCAATTGCAAAGATATAGAACTAACATAAGTGCCCATCAACCAACCAGTGGATAAAGACATGTGGTATATATATACCATGGAATACTACTCAGCCACAAAAAGGAATGAAAAAATGTTTTTGCAGCAACCTGGATGGAGCTGGAGGCGATTATTCTAAATGAAGTAACTCATGAATGGAAAACCAAATATATGTTCTCACTTATAAGTGGGAGCTGAACTATGAAGATGCAAAAGCACCAGAATGTTATAATGAACTTTGGGGACTCAGTGGGAAAGGTGGGAGCGGGGTGAGGGTTAAGAGACTACATGTTGGGAATAGTGTATACTGCTTGGTTAACAGGTGCACCAAAACCTCAGAAATCACCACTAGAAAACAAATCCATGTAACCAAAAACCACCTGTTCCCCAAAAACTAGTCAAATAAAAATTAAATATTAAAAAAAAATTTTAAAGTTTGTTCAAAAGCATCAGGGAGCTAGCTACTGAAGCAATGAAGATTAACAGCCAAAATGCTGGAGAGGGGAGACATGCAGAGAGGTGACCCCAGGCTTTAATCCAGACAGAGGGACACTGCCCAGGACCAGAGAAACAGCAGAGCTTTGTATGTTTGTGCAGGACTACAGTAACAAAACTAGAGACTTGGGGAGCCTCAAACACGTAGTTTCCCCAAGACATCCTGAAGTGTGTAAAGCTGGAAGCAAAAAATTAAGCCAAAAACTAACCAAAAGCAGTTTTCCACAATCTTGTAGTGTTGAGGAGGTAAAACTTAGATATCTTTCAGGACCTGTTGGGAGCATGGATCCTGATAAATGCAGCAGACTCTCAGTTGAAAGCCCTGGATCAATTGAAAACATCAGTTCAGTACCGATGGAATTAATTTGATCACCGTTGACCCTCTCTGCCTGACAGAGAAACACTGAATTCTCCTTGAGGAAGATACTATCTGAAGCTTTAACAGTTTTTAATATATAGTATCTAGCATTCAATAAAAATCACCAGACATTCTAAGAATCATGTAGAAAAATAAAAGGAAAAAATACACAATAAAAATTTACCCACAGGTGATTCTGAAACTAGAGTTATTAGACAAGGACATTTTAAAAATTGCTGAGATTTATGTCCAAGAAAACAGAAGACAAAATGAAGAGACGAAATGATGACAAATTTCACTAGAGAACTGAAACTTTTTTTTAAATCAAATAAAGACTTTAAAGTTAAAAATACAATAACCACACTGAAGAATCAACGTAAGCCAGGTGCAGTGATGCACACCTGCAATCCCAGCTATTTAGGAGGCTGAAGCAGGAGGATCACTTGAACCCATGATTTAAAGACCCGTTGGGCAATAGAGTGAAAATCCATCTCTTAAAAATATTTTTAAAAACAAAATATTTACAATTTTAAAAAAGAAATAATCTTTTTCAGTGTCTAGAAAGACTCCATTAAAAAAACAATCAATACATAAGTATGACTGCAGATTAGGCACAACAAGAAGACAAAATTAATGAGCTAGAAGACACATTATTAAGTAAACCGAAACACACAGAGTGGAAAACATACAAAAGGGAATAAAAGCATGTGAGACACAAGGAAAAGGTTTAACTTACATATGAGTCAAGCCTCAGAAGGAAAAGAATGAAGCAGAAGCAGCATTTGAAGAGGTAACCGTAGAGAATATTTCAAAACTGATAAAAGACATCAACATAAAGATTCAAGTCTCTCAACAAACTCCAACCAGCACAAATTCCAAGAAACAAAACAAACAAACCAAAAACAAATAATTTTTTAAGCAGCCAGAGGAAAATAAACATTACTTTCAAAGTAGCAAAAATAGGCCGGGAGCGGTGGCTCACACCTGTAATCCCAGCACTTTGGGAGACCGAGAAGGGTGGACACCTGAGGTCAGGAGTTCGAGACCACCCTGGCCAACATGGTGAAACCCTGACTCTTAAAAAAAAAAAAAAAAAAAAAAAAAATCGAGTGTTGGCATGGATGTGAAAATATCAGAACCTTTGTGCATTGCTGGTGGGAATGTAAAATGGTGCATATCCTGGGGAAAACAGCATGGCAGTTCCTCAAAAAAGTAAACAGAATTACCACAGGACCCAGCAATTCCATTTCTGGGTGTATGCCCAAAAGAACTGAATGCAGGGACTCAGCTATGTGCACAGTGCACTTCATGGCAGCATTTTTCATAACAGCCAAAAGCTGGAAGGAAACAGGGTCCCTTGATGGAGGAATAGAGAAACAAAATGTGGACTATCCACACAATGGGATATTACTCAGCCTTTAAAAGGAGGGAAATTCTGACACATGCTACAATGTGGGGAACCTTGAGAACATTATACTCAGTGAAATAAACTACTCATAAAACACAAATACTGTACAATTCCACTCACATAAGATTCCCAGAGTAGTCACATCCATTGAGGCAGAAAGAACAGTGGTTACTAGGGCTGCTGGGAGGGAGGATGGGGAATTACTACTGAATGAGAGGGCAGAGTTTCTGCTTGGCAAGATGAAGGAGTCAGATGGGTGGTGGCAATGGTTGCACATGAATATCCTTAATGCCACTCAACTGTACATTTTTAAATGGTTGAAATGCTACATTTTATGTTATGCACATTTTACCACAAAAAGAAAAGGAAAAAGGAAAGAATCAGAGAATCAGCCAGAAGAAGGAAGAGAGAAGGCACTGCATATGCAAAGGCCCACAGGCTGCAAGAGCGTGGCAAGTGTGAGGTGCCGCGTGGCGGTCAGGGGTTCAGGACTGTGGCGAGGGCAGGGGAGGGCCAAGCGTCAAAGGTGGCCAGTGAGGCAGGACCCAAGCATGCTGCTGACCGTGGGTCAGCCACAGGCCAACTCTGAGGGACGCTACCACGACTCTCGGGATGCCTGAGAAGATGACCTGTGGCATGTGGCAGGTGCACAATACATGGATGACTGAATCGGGATGTTCCTGGCTGGCCACCCAGTGCCCTGATCTGAAATAGGGGAACAGGCAGGGCACAGTGGGCTAGGGACGTGTACAAGGCCACCAACCACAGCTGGTTGAAGGTGGCGGGAGGCTGTTATCAACACTACCCAGACAAGACAGTGGCCAGTGACCTCCCCAAGGCACACAGCAGCCCAGTGGGAAAGGCGGGCAGGGAGAGGTCCAGCCCACATCTCCATGGCCGGCCACCTGCCAGGGCCCCAGAGCCAAGCTGCCCCATGCCTTGCTGGGTTCATCCATAAAACGGGAACAGGGAAGCACTGATATGACAAGGTGGCAGAGGTGACAGCCACCTCGGGAAAGCACTGGAAAGTGCTTTGAGGACCCCTAGACCTGTGAGCAGGAGTCCTCCTCCTCCTCCTCCTCCGATCCCAAGGTGTCCCAGGGACCCCAAAGGGCATGCTCACCTGAAACTCGCCCTTAGTGAACTTGGCATCAGGCACACTCACGAGCTCCTCATCACCCACCTCGGGGAAGCCCTGAGGAAGGACAGCTGCTGAGACAGATGCCCCCTCCCACTGCCAGGAGCCACTTGACACAGAGGAGTGGGGGGAGGGGGCTGCCCAAGACTGATGGGAGGGGCTCTGGGACCACACCAGACTGTCTCTGCCCCTCACACCCTCCTGGGGAGCCAGTGTCCCTGGGGCCTGAGTGTCTACCCCCGACAAATCTCTAATCTCACTGAGAGGCCACACGTACTTGGATGTGCCAGAAGACCAAGACAGCCACCACCATCGCGGTCGTGGTCCGGCCCTGGCCACTGAGGCAGCTAAACACGAAGCCAGTGCCTGGGTCCTTGGAGAGGGCAGCCCGCAGAGCCTCCAGCAGCCGGTCAAAGTCCTGGGCAGGGAGAGCAAGGTCAGTGGAGGACAGACCCCAACAGGGCCCCCATCCACATGGCAGCCCCAGCCACTGTCGTCCAGCCAGTAACTGTCAGGCTCACAAGCTCAGGCACACAAACAAAACTCACGAGGGTGCATGAGACCACATGCATGTGAACAGCTGCACGTGTGCAGCCGTAAAAACCCTTACCAGGACAAGACGTGTGAGCCAACACAGCACGCACCTGGGGCTCAAGGTGCCCACCCTCCACCAGGCAGGACATGCACCTGTGTTCCACCCCTGTGTGCTGTGCCCCTGGGGCTGCACATGGACCGCTGGCCCTGCCACCCACCTGAGCTGAATCCAGCCCTGCTCCCATCATGAGAGCAGGAGCCTGACCTCAGAGGAGCCCTGCACGGCCACCAGGGGGCAGCAGACTGTAGGCAGTGAGAGCCGCAGAGAGAAGCACCAGGAGGGGCTCGGGCAGGAAACAGCCCCCCATCGCCAGGATCACATGGCACACAGCAACCCACCCACAACACAGGCACCACGCACACGGTGCCCCACCTACGACACACGCCAGATACACGCACCACACGGGGATCCACGTCCCATAAACACACACACTGTATAGATACCCACAGCCACAGACCTACATTCCACACACAAGCATTCCTAACGACCCCTCCACAAACCCCAGCACGCACCACAGCACGCCCCTAAAGATGGTTCTCCACACACAGCCCCCAACACACACAAGGGAGACATCACAAACTCCATAAAAAGACATGCACACACACACACACTCCACATACCACATACACACTCCATACACAGTCCCCCAACTGAGACACGCACACCACGGACACCATGGACATGCTCACCCTCAACACACACACACCTTACAACACATACACACACACGCACACCTATAACAGAATACACACACCCTATAACAAACACACACACACCTTACAACACATACACACACACCTAACAACACATACACACACACCCTATAACACACATACACCTGTAACAACACATATGCACACACACCTGTAACAATATACACACACCCCTCTGTAACACACACACCTATAACAACATATATGCACACACCTTCCACAGAATATACACACACCCCTCTGTAACACACACATCTATAACACACACACACACCTATAACACAATACATATACACCCCTACAACACATGATAAACACATACACACACACACACCTTACGACACATATGCACACACACCTATAACAGAATACACATACACACCTATAACACACACAACCCTACAACAAACACACCTTACAACACATACACACACACCTGTAACAATACACACACACATCCCTATAACACACACACCCCTACAACAAAAAACATACACTACTACAACACATAATAAACACATGTACACACACAACACATACGCACACACACCTGTAACAGAATATACACACACACCTATAACACACACACCTATAACAGCACAATATACACACACCCCTATCATACATAATAAACCCAGGTACACACACCTTCACACACACACCTATAACAGCACAATATACACACACCCCTACCACACATAAACCCATGTACACACACCTTCACACACACACCTGTAACAGAATATACACACACACCTTGAACACACACACCTATAACAACACAATACACACACATACACCCCTAGAGCACATAATAAAGCCATGTACACACACACAAAGCTTGGAAGGGATGTGAATAAACCACTTGGTCCAAATCGAAAAACCCCGTGAGACCACCCCCGGGCCACATAGAGAAGGTGGGGTGGTTTCACCCTCCAGGAGCCCAGGCCAGAGGGGAGGCAGGGAGGCCTCCATCCCTCCGCAGTGGCCTCAGCCTGAGCGGCACCCTCACCTCCTCACGGGGAGCACAGAAGTCCGGCACAGGGATTCGATGGTAGGTAAGCCTGGGGCAGGCCTTGCGGTGCTGGCTGAAGACCTCCTGCATGGTGAGGCAGGTCTGGAACCTGTGGGTCAGGAGGCCCTCCTTGCCTGGGGGAACCTCGCTCAGATGAGCCTTCAGCTGGGCCTCCAGGGTCTGCAGAAGGTCAGGAGGGAGGGCACAGGCCACTGGGGCAGGCTCCAGGCTAACCCTGAAAGACCAGAGCCTGCCATGGCCCGGCCCGGTCCTGGCTTCCAGTCCTACCCCTGACCCCCCAAGCCTCAGGGGTCACAACCACCCCCGAGCCAGGAAGGTGACCAGAGCACTTTAGTGGGAGTCCTGAGTCAGCCACACCCTGACACTGCTCCTCGCGGGGCCTCAGATTCTCCACCTGTAGGCAGGAGCGTGGGGCCTCCGAAGACCCTCCCAGGCCACTCCCCAGAAGCCTCTGAGGTGGGGGTGCCTAGAAGGCAGAGGTCCTCACCTCCAGCTGGTCAGGTGCCATGGGGGGCCCAGGCTGCCGCAGGCTGTGCGTATGCCCGTCACACTCCAGCACCGCCTCCTCCCGTAAGCTCACCCAGATGACCCTCCGCAGCTTCCTCTTGGCATCCGTCAGGTAGGCCAGGATGCTCCCCAGGGCCTGGGCACAGGAAGGCTGGTAGTGAGCGCTCAGCCCTCCCTCCCCCACCCCACTGGGGAACCCAGGCCCCGAGGAGGGGTCACCTTGGCGCTGGGCTGGGCCATGCCGTAGATGGGCATGCGGGGCACCCGCCGGAAGTTGGCCACATCCATCTCTCTGACAGTGCTGAGCGCATCCGGGGAGACAAGATCGTCCTTCCTCTGTGGGGAAGGCAGCGAGCCTGGGACCCACAGCAGCCGACCGCAGCCACAGGGAGGGAGGGTCAGGACCCAGCCCGCGGCAGTTGGGGTCGGGGGTGGAACCCAAGCTTCACAGTGTACAAAGCACTCCTACACTCATGGAGCTTCCTCCTGACCCTGGCAAGAAGGGCAATGGCGCCCACTCTCCAGACAAGGAAGCTGAGGCTCAAAGACAAGAAGCTGGAGGCAAAGATCCTAGAACCCTGCCCAGAGCTCTTGGGTTTGAGACTCAGAAGGTACCAGAGCAGCGGCCAGAGCTGCAGGTGCCTCCTGGGGCCTGAGCATGACCCCATTCTGCTCACAAGAGGAACCCAATACCCACAGCCTCTCTTCTTCACCTCCTGCAAGGCCAGTACTTCCCCCAACCCCACGGAATCCAGTGTTTAGGAGCCAGGGCCACTCCACAGCCACGCCCACTTCCCCAACTGCCAGTCATACTCACCAGGGAGCCCTCAGCGATGAGGTCCCTCGGAGCCATGGGGCCCACTGAGCTCAGCGTCATGGGCAGGCGGTACAGCTCAGGGTGGGCACACAGCCAGCGGCTGAAACTGAGGGCAAAGGCCAGCAGGTACTGCAGCCCAAGGCAGAGAAACAGGGAGCTCAGGGGCACAGGGCCATCCTGAACCCTCCCTGCCCATACCATGGCAGGGGAGGCCCCAAGAGATATCCAACATGACTGGGGCAGGGACAAGGGAGTGGGTGAGAGAAGACCTGGATATCTGGTGTCCTGGCTCAGGGACAGAGCCGAGGGCACGGGGAGAGAGGTGGGGCCTCTCTGCCCCGCTGCTCAGGGAATACTCCTGAATCTGGGTCTCTCCTGGCTTCCCTTCCCTCCCTGGTTCCTTGGAGGGGACCTCCCTCCACAGCAAGCCAGTCACCATGGTGGGGAGGCTGGGAGAGGCCAGGAGGAGGGGACATGGGTCTGCTCCTCCCAGGCCCCACCTGCTCATGAAGGTAGTAGTTAAACAGGATCAGGTAGAGGTATCGCTCCAGGCTCCACAGTGCCCTCTGCCGGATGCTGTGTTGGCTGCCGCTTCCCTGAGAAGAGGGCCCAGGAGTGGGAACAGGGTGTTATCAACGGACTCCTCAGGCTTGTCCCTGTCCCTGTCCCCGTCCCTGCAAGGGCAGGAGTTAAGCCTTGGAACTCTCCAGAAGACAGCCTTCCCCACCCCTCATGAAACAGTTCTGCCAGGCTGGAAGCGCTTCTAAGCATCTCACCCTATCCCAGTTGCTTGCTTAATCTGTGGTGTCGGGGGAGGTGTGCGTGGTCACACCAGGCACTGTGGTTCTGGGTGCAGGGCTGGTCTCCCCAAGCAGGTTCCCAGCCCCGAGACAGGCAAGGGCTCCAGCGACACCCAGCAGGTCAGGGCTGTGAACCTGGCTGGGCGAGGTGGCTCACGCCTATGGTCCCAGCACTTTGGGAGGGTGAGGCAGCCAGATCACTTCAGCCCAGGAGTTCAAAACAAGCTGGGCAACATGGAGAAACCCCATCTCTACAAAAAACACAAAAATTAGCCAGGCACAGTAGCGCACACCCGTAGTCCCAGCCACTCATGAGGCTGAGGTGGAAGAATCGCTTGCACCTGGGAGGTTGAGACTCCAGTGAGCTGCGATCTCACTGCTGCGCTCCAGCTCGGATGACAAAGCAAGGCCCTGTCTCAAAAAACAAATGGAAAAAAAAAGAACTGGAGCTTCTCCACAGGAAAATACAAATACAAAGACCCACATGGCAGTGCTCCAGAGGGACCACCCTAATTATTCCCGATTTATAGGGGAAACGGAATCTGAGAAATGAGGTGACTTCCTTAAAGTCACACAGCTGACAGCAAACAGAGCTAGTTTCCCCAAGTCTCCTGACCCCGGCCCAGCTTCCTCTGCATGGAGGGTTGTCCAAGAGAACTCCAAGGGCCCCCTCTCTCAACCCTCGGATCTCCAGGTGCTCCTGCTGGGTCAGTATCTAGAGGCCCTAAGGAAGAGTCACGCCTTTTGGTGAAATTTAATCCCATCTTTGGGAATCTCCACCAGGGGTCAGCAAACTTTTCCCATAAAGGGCCAGATAGTAAATATTCTAGACTTTCAGGCTTCAGGGTCCCTGCTGCAGCTACTGAACTCCGCTATCCTAGCGTAAGAGCAGCCAGCACAGAAGAGAATGGCAAGACTGCGTTCCAGTAACACATTTACGAAAACGGGGGTCAGGCTGGATTTGGCCTAAGAGCGGTAGTTTGCTGATGCCTAATCTAGACTAAGGGGAGAAAGAATCCTAAATACACAACAGCCTTCATTTTCATGAAGTTGCTCGACAAAGAAGTCTTTACCCCAGTGGGGAACTGGAAGCGACTCAACTGTCCAAGAAGAGAGGGACTATTGAGTAATTGAGTAAATCACAGCAGGGGTGACACTCCAGGGACTCTGTGTCTGGCTCTAAGTACTGTATGGGGGGTTTGAGGGGTGGGTTTTTGTTTTTTTTTTTTGCTTTTGGGGTTTGTTTTTGTTTTTGAGACAGGGTCTTGCTCTGTTGCTCAGCCTAGAGTGCAGTGGTGCGATCATAGCCCACTGCAGCCTTGAATTCCTGGGCTCAAGGGATTCTCCTGCCTCAGCCTCCCTGGTAGCTGGCACTACACATCCAGCTAATTTCTGTATTTTTTGTGGAGATGGCATTTTGCCATGCTGGCCAGGCTGGTCTCGAACTCCTGACCTCAAGTGATCCACCCGCCTTGGCCTCCCAAATTGCTGGGATTACAGGTGTGAGCCACCACACCTGGCCTTTTAAAAATATTTTTAAAAAGAAAAAGGCCCAGTGCTTTGCAAGGCCAAGCGGGAGGACTGCTTGGTGCCATGCGGTGAAGACCAGCCTGGGCAACATAATAAGACCCCATCTGTAAAAAAATAATTTTTTAAATATTAGCCAGGTATGGTGACATGCACCTGTAGCCCCAGGTACTCAGGAGGCCGAGGTGGAGGAATCCCTTGAGCCTAGCAGTTCGAGGTTGCAGTGAGCTATGACTGCACCACCGCACTACAGCCTGGGCAACACAGCGAGACCCTACTGAAGGAGAAGGAGGAGGAGGAGAAGAAGAAGAAGAAGAAAGGAGAAGAAGGGAGGGAAGAGGGAGAGAAGGAGGAGGAGGAAGAGGAAGGAAGAGGAAGGAAGAAGAAAAAGAAGGAAGAGGAGAATGAGGAAGAGAAAGGAGGAAGAGGAGAAGGAAGAGGAGGAGGAAGGAGGAGGAGGGAGGAGGAGAAGAAAGAAGAAAAAGAAGCCGCCTCTGTGGCTGTAGATTCTTTCCATGTACTGTATGATGTAAACACTATCAAGCCCACCTCCTTTCCCAGGGCATGGGGACAGGGTCTGCTGACACAGCCTAGAGCCCGTAAGTCTTCCAGAAGCAGCCGGCTGGATCAAACCCCAGTCTTCCCAAAGAAACACCAGGAGTTTACTAGCGGCGGGAGGCCATGAGTGGCCTGGGGAGTATCTGAGTCTGCAGTCCTAGCCAGCAGCCCCTTCCTCCGTCCTGTTTATTCTGCAGCTGAAGGGATCTGGTCAGGGAAAGTAAACTTCCCCTCTTCCTTGTCCTTCCTGCGGGCCCAGCGCCCCTATCTCCCTTTCCTCTGAAAACTGCTCTTTTCACGGGAGAAGCAGCAGCCAGAAAAAGTCAGTCTGAAAGAAACCAGTCAACATGCCTCATGAAACCAGGCTGCGGGGCTCACAGAGAAGCAGGGGTGCTCACACGTCCTTGGGGCTCACAGAGAAGCAGGGGTGCTCACACGTCCTTCAGTGCCTCACCTGGGCTGGGCGCTCCAGTCTGACACCTTCTAACTTCTTCTGGTTTTCCAAGACCACTTCTTTCAGGTCATGCAATTCTGCACAGGCAGTGATGGCTCTGTCCACCTGGTGCCAGGGACCAGGGAAAGGAAAAGGGAGGTGGCGGGGAGGGGAGCAGGGTCAAGGAAGAATGGCAGGAGAGCAGAGAAAAGAGAGGGAAAGACAAAGATTGGCAGAGAGGTGGAGGAGGGTATCGGGGAGGAAGAGAGCCCCAACCAGTGAGAGGAGTGACCGTCCCCTCCACCACCTGTACCGCACCCCCTTGCCAAACCTCACTCACCTCCTCCACCATCCTTCTTCCCTGGGGCACCATGCGGAGAAAGCTCTGGATCACCTGGAATTGCCCCAAGGGCAGGGGCTTGGCCTGCATGGGGGCAGCCCTGTCCAGACAGGGGTCAGTACATCAGCAGGGCTCTTCCAAAGGTCTCACATGGCCACCTGCCTGCCGTCTCCACTCAAATGGCCACTGGGGACACCAGACTATAGGCTCCTTCTGAATCACGTTGTGGGAAGCAGGGGACATTTCCTCAATTAGGGAAACTGAGGCCCAGAAAGGTCAGGTGACTTTTTCCAGGTCTCATGGAAAGTCTTGTGACAAACTAGGAAATGAACCCCAATGCCAAATTTCCAGCTTTGGCTGTGGGCTCCTAGACGTGACCCCACATTGTGGGGCAGCCTGTGCCTTCCTCGGCCCCACAGCCCTTCAGGATGCTGGACCCCAGGCCACTCACTCTGGCTGTGAGGTAGTCCCACTGTGGTGAAGCAGGATGAGTGTGCCCAGGACCATGCCCAGGTTGGTCCTGCCCACGCCCGTCTGGCAGCTGAAGACGAGGGCTGGGGGAGGCCCATGGACATCGCAGAGCCGCAGTAGGCTGGGGGTCTCCTGGGAAAGACCATGACGATCAGGCCCCAGTGAGACCAGGAAACCCTGGGCTGAGGCCTGAGCCGGGGGAAAGGCATGACACTGGCCCACCCCACCCTACACTCTGCAGCAAAGTGGGCTCCAATAGGTGGCTTGGCGTCTTCTGCCAAAGCCACAGCCTGATCAGTTCCACCGGCTCCCTCCCCAGGCCTTGGAAGAGCTTAAAGAACTGGCAGTCAGAGCAACTCAGAGGGCACCAGGCCAGCATTGACACCTGCGAGATGCCGGTGAAATAAGATAAAGTCCTGAAAGGCGCTAGGCAGAAACTCCGCCAGGACTCAGGAAATGTCAGCTGAAGAGTCTGTAGGGCAAGAGTCGTTTAGCTCCACTGAAGAAATGAGGAAATAAGGTCTAGAGAGGTGAAGCAATTAGTCCAGGACCACACAGCAAGTTGGCAGCCCAACCATGGCCAGCAGCTAGGCCAGAGGTCAGTGATGGACTCTGTCATAAGAGAATGCACAAACACACACCTACATACAGATACACAGACACACACACACACACACACACACACAGATACACAGTGAGACACACAGACATGTATACACACTCCCTAGAGACACACAGGACACTGACATACACAGACATACACACAGAGACAGACGCCACCACATGTCCACCCTGACATGCTCACACACAACACAGAACGAGGCCCTCCTCTGAAGAAGGCCCGCCCTGAGCACCTCCGTGGGGGCGACTCTCAAGACTCCTCCCCCACGCCCGCCCGTGCCCCACTTACCCGGAGAACACTGACAAAGGCGTCCAACTGGGCCTCCAGGGGGCCCCCTTGCTCGGGCAGGGGTAAGCGGTGGTACCTGCCAGGTGAGGGAGAGCAGCCCATCAGACAGGCGCCCACTCTGGGAATCCCCCTCATCCCCATTCCTGGGCACTGTTCAGAAATGGCCCCCAATGTGGGAGACATGGGTGTGGGGGACTCCGCCTAACCTGCAGACAGTGAAACTGAGGCCGCAGCTGGAGAGCAGGACCTGGAGCACCCATGGCCAGCACGTGGGGCCAGGGCTGGGGTGGCCCCGTGGTACCTGTAGGTGGGCTGCAGGAAGAGGGGCCGCTTGTACACCTCCTCCGTCACGTGCACGTCATCCTCGCCACGGATGGCCACGGCATGGGGCTCTCCCCTTGGGTCCTCGGTGTTGTGGTACACGTGGTATGTGTTCTCACTCAGCTGGGCAAAGTCATGGATCTAGAAGGAGGTGTGGGGGTCAGAAGGCATGGGCTGAACTTCAGGTCCCTCCCTGAGTGTCCTGGCTGAGCTCTGGAGTGACCAGGCTATGCAGAGGCCACAAGCAGGCTTCTGCCCTCCATGAGGGAACTACATGGCCAGAGGTGCCGTCTGTGCCCTTCCTGGGAGTCCTGAAGGAATTGGGATGCCCACACAGGGGCCAGATAGGAGGGCCCTGCCCAGTGGGTGCAGGAATTCTGAAGCTATCAGTGCCAGGATGGGGGAGGCATAGTTGGCTGGGAGCTGCAGTTGAGGGAGGCAGAGCACGTAGGAGGTGTAGAGGGGGTGGGAGAGGGAGAGAGCCGGGGGCCAGGCCTCAGTTCCCGCCATGGAAGTTTCTGGGGGCACCGGGACCCCACACTCTATTCACAGACCTCCGTGGTGTATCTGCTGCCTCAGAGGCCTCCACAAGCCTCCATATTATGGAAAAGGAGGAGGACAGAGGATCCTGAAATAGGCCCACAGACCCACCAACAGAACTGACTCAGAGCCTTGTGGTTCTTGAATTGCTGAACAGCGGTCTTGGCCCTTCTAGTTTAGCACTCTTTCCACTCCACCAGACCTCTTTCCTTTTTCTTTTTTTTTAGACAGAGTTTCACTCTGCTTCCCAGGCTGGAGTGCAGTGGTGTGATCTCGGCTCACTGCAACCTCCGCCTTCTAGGTTCAAGCAATTCTCCTGCCTCGGCCTCCTGAGTAGCTGGGACTACAGGCGTGTGCCACCACGCTCAGCTAATTTTTTGTATTTTTAGTAGAGACAGGGTTTCACCATGTTGGCCAGGCTGGTCTTGAACTCCTGACCTCAGGTGATCCACCCGCCTCAGCCTCCCAAAGTGCTGGAATTATAGGCGTGAGCCAGCAGACCCCTCTCTAAATAAGGATGTTGAGCATCAAGGAGAAAAGCAGGGTGGAAAAGGGGCAGAGGCAAAGAGAGCTGGAATAGAAAGTCCTTCCTCTGGGTGCCCATGAGCCAGGCTTGCAGCCAGCCACTCACCCAAGCAGGGCACAACGGTGAGGGAGCTTGGGCCAGTAAGAGCAGGTGGCCTGGCCCCAGAAACAGCATCTGCAAAGCAGGACTGTGGGCTGGGGTCGCACACACACCGCACTGGTCCTCACCTCTTTCCGGATGGCCAGCTCCAGGCTCTCTGCTCGGACCCCGGGTCCAAGGCCATGGAGGTTCTCATGAAGGTTCTGCTTGTCTCGAGGCGTGTAGGACACAAAGTCCTCATCTGCACGCAGGAACAGCACAGGTTCCTCCCGCACACAGAAGATGACGCACTCCTGCCAGGAGCCCAAGGGGGAAGGAAGCCATCACCACGATCCCACACAGACACCTGCACCTCTGACCCACCTCAGGGCCTCTGCCCAAGCTGTTCCTTCCTCTTCAAGGGCCCTGCACCCCACGCCATCTCTGCAGCCTGAATCCTACCCAAGAAGAAAAGCTCAGTCCAAATGCCACCTCCTCGTGACCCTCCCGGTCAGCATGACCCCACCCTCCTGTCAGGGCCAAGAGTCCTTTATCTGAACCTCCTGGCATTAATTCCTGCTTTGTATTATCAATGAATGCATCTTTTCCCCCTTGATGGACCACAAGTTCCTCATAGGCAAAATCATGTCCTGCTCATTTTCAGGTACTCACGAGTCCTAGCACGGTGTCCTGGATAAATCAGGTGCTTGATGAACATCAGCTGAAGAAATGAATGCCCCATGACCATGCAATCATTCACTCACTGAGCACCATACAGGCAGAGGGAAATGTGTGGGCAGATGGTGCCCTCAAGGAATTTATCATCAAGATGGGAAGACGGGATCTGTGCACAGCCCCCACCCCCACCCCATTCTGTGTCACTCAAAGCCTTTCCACCTTAATCCCAGGGTCCATTCAGATGTGGCTACACCCAAGAAACCTACAATCGCAGCAGACCCTCAGTCTATGTCCTAGAGACATGCAAAATCCTGCCTTGACACCCAGCAGGTAAGAGCAGTCCTTGAGAGCAGGCACTTGGGAGTTCGGCTGCCTGGGTTTGGGTGTTGGAGTACCACTCATGAGCTGTGTGAACTTGAGCAAGTCACTTAGCCTCTCTGTGCCTGTTTCTCCTCTTCTGTAAAATGGGAGACAAACTGCCACTCCATCACAGGGCGAACGTCAGGACTTAAGTGTTAGCTGTGATCACCATTCAGCAAGCTGTCATATTCTGAGCTGGCTCCTCCTGTCACCCAATCATGCCCCTTGCTTCCCCTGAGGCTCCCAAACAGGGTCTATGAAGGCTTCTGATCTTGTGCCCCACTGTCCACTCAGGACGTGCAATCAACATGCTCCAGAATTTCCCAACCAGGCCAACCGCAGTGACCATCCTGGCAGGAGGGCCTGGTCCAGGCCAGCACCCCACCTCCCCAGCATGCAGCAGGCCCCTCCAGCACCTCTAAAGCTGCCTCTCTAAGGTGCCCCTCTCCCTGGCTTTGGGGGCCTGGCTTCTACCTTGGGAAGTGGCATGCTTACCCTGTGTCCGTCCTTCTGGAGCTTCTGGAGGACCCGTCTGAACCCTGAGAGGCTGGGCTGTCCCATGCCGAACACAGTGAGCCCACCCTGCACCTGTCGGAAGTTGGGGGCCCCACAGCTTCCTGCGGTGCCCAGCACGTCCATCTTCTCAGTGACATCCCGCACCAGGAAGTAGCGGCCCTGGCAGGGGAGAGCCATGAGGGGGCCACTCAGATGGCTCAGGGGTGTCTTCTGCAGACAGGGCTCTGTCCCAGGCTCCAGGGGACAGGGAGGTGGGAAACAGGGGCAAGAAGAACATGGTCCTGCCCTCAACCTGCCTGAAGTTCATAAAAAAAAATAGACAAAACATATAACTCTCTGTGATCTGGGGAAGGGTGTCATAAAGTACAGGGAAAGGAAAGACAACTCCTTCAGAGGGGGCATCAGAGAGGGCTTCACATGGGAGGTGACATCTGAGCCAGGCCTGGAGGAAAGAGCAGGGAGAGGTCCTCCAGGGCCAAGCTGGCTCTAGGGTAGGAGCGCCTCTGGAGGGAGCACATGGGGAAGGGGCTTGAGTAGGAAGGCAGAGCTGGGGCACCAGGAATCAACAAGAGGACCACGGTGCTAGCCCCGTCCTAGGGCCCTGCCAGTTCTGAAGATGGGCAGATAGATGGGGAAAGTAGGGAAGAGCCACAGGGAGGAGAGGGCAGGAACCCATAAGAACGGGGACAGGAGGTGGCAGGCGGGCTGGCAGGGCAAGGCCTGAGCTCACCTGCACCAGGTAGTGCTCAGGGGTGGTGTCTGAGAGCTGGCCCAGCGTGTAATGAGCCTTGAGCAGCTCATCATGGATCTGGAACTCCTCCTTACAGTTGTACCTGTGGGGGGCAGAATAGAAACCGAGTCAAGCAACCTCCATGGTCAAGGTCTGTTCCCTGCTCACAGAGCCCACAGCAGGGAAGCCCCTGTGACTATGATTTGTGGCAGAGACTTCCCATTGTCCCTCAATATCCACTCTTCCCTTCTTCCTCGGCAAGAGAACCCTACCCAGGGCTGTGACTGAGGACTGAGCCACCCAGTTGAAGACTACATTTCCCAGCCTCCCTTGCAACTCATTGTGGTCATGTGATTAAGTTCTGGCCAATGAGATGTGAGAATATGTGATAGGCGTGTACAAATTCCAGGCCATTCCCAAAGAGAAGAGGTGCCTTCCGTTTTGTCTTTTCTCCTTCTTTCTGGCTAAAATCCATAAGTGATGGCAGAGGTAGAACATCTCGGATCACAAGATAGAAGCCACCTGTTGATGATATTGGAGCAATGAGGGAGAAGGGGCCTGGGTGATCATGCAGCAGCCATCCCAGCCTGGACGACCTCCTGGACTTGCATATGAGATGAGCTTCTGTCCTGAGGAAGGCATCCTATCTGGGTTACTTTGTGACAGTGGCCTAGCCTGTACCCTGAAGAAGACACCATCACTGGATGGTCCCTCCATCAGATTGTGTCGGAGGGACAATCCCCACACCACCAACTCCACACACAGCTAGGTGGTTTAGAACACAGGCTTTGGAGCATGAAGCCCAACTCCACTGCTTGGTAACTCTGTGGCTTTGGATAAGGAGCTGTTTCCAGGAATTCCTACCCCCAAGGCTGTCCTGGGAATTAAATGTGCTAATGATTGTAAGTGCTTAGCCCAGTGCCTGGGGCACAATAAAGATTTATTAATATAATTGTAGTTCTAGCTCCACACGGGGCTAAAACCCACAGATAAAAATCAAGATTTCTATAGATGCCAAACGAGGTACAAGTCCAAACGCTCAAGCTTCTGTGCCCTCAAGACACAATAACTCCGGTGCCAGTGATAACAATGAATATGACAGGGCCTCCCAGAGTTCATGATCTGATGTTAGGTCCTCTTGAAAAAAGAGGTGCCTTTCAGAAAGGCAGGGGGTGGAATGGGTGGGGCAGAGGAGCACTAGAAGAAGCACCAGCTCTGCCTCCATGTTAACATGTGGCCCATGGGGAGCAACTCTCTCTACGTCCCTGACACCCAGTTTTCACATCTGAGCTAAAATGCATTAGATCAGTGGTCACCATTCCTTTTCTGGAAAGAACCACACAGTAAATACTTGAGGCTTTGTGCGCCACACAGCGCCTGTTGCAACTACTCAATTCTGCCATTGAGGCCCTAAGCATCCACAGATACTATGTAAGTGAAAGGAAGTGTCAACGTTCCAATAAAACTTTATTTGAAAAAACAGGCCACACTGGGCCTGCAGGATGTAGTTTGCTGACCCTTCTATTGGGTGATCTCTAAAGGTCCCTTCCACTTCAAACATTCTATACCCCAAGGAGTGATGCGCTCATGGCTGGCTACAGGCCCTTAGCGCAGGGCCATGTACGGGGTTTTTACAGATGGTCAGCAATCTGAGACCACATCACTTGGTTAAATATTTTGAATGTCATCTCTGCTTATGTTAAGGAAATTGAGGTCCAGAGAGGGAAAGGGACTTGCGCAAGGTCACAGAACAAAGCAGGGGCAGAGCCAGGCCCCGGGCACGAGTCTCCAGTGCTACCTTCAGGGCCCAAACCCACCTTTGTCATCTGTCAGTACAGAGGCTACATATCAAGTCTCTTTCATATGACCTCTCTTTCCTCCCCTTATCAGAAGCCCAAGAATTGATTATGATGACAGTTTTCCTGGCAGGCCCCAGAACTGGCAGGCAGGGTTTATCATTCCCACCCCTTCGGTTTCCTTATCCAGAAGGCCCCATCTGCTAAGTCTTTGTCAAACTTTGATGTGTGGAACACATTTAATTCCTAGCTAGTCATCTCCTGCTTCCTGCATCCTGGAAGACCCGGAGGAGGGGAGCACAGTGGGCAGAGGTGTGGGAAGTATGAGGCCTCCCAACCCACCAGGAGATGGATCCGATCTCCCCACCGTCTTCCTGTCTTCCCTAGCACGGCTCTCCAGTACCCGCCCCTTCCTCCAAGCCCCACAGGGCAGACAGGGTTTCAGGGCCCCCCCTCATGACCCTATTCCTCTGGACGCAAGCAGTATGTCCAGATCTCTGAACATGCTGCCAGAACAAGCCCTAATGGGCATCATTAGGATAGCTGACTAGCAGCTTCCAGCTCCTTCAGCCCAAAGCTCTTCCACAGCCTGGTGTTAGCCTCAGTTTTAAGCCATAATTACTATCAGTGAAAAAGAAATCTCAATTTCATGCATAAGGTACATAAACATCTTTCGAAAGGTTAAGCCAAAAATTATTTTCAAAAGGCGGGGGGGTCCTGCATCCATGCCTCCTTCTCCACATTCCCTCACACTGTGGACATGGTGAGTAGCGTAGGCTCAGAGACTGACGACAGAGACGCAGCCCTGCCAGCTGCATGCAGTGTGACTCCCGATGAACTGCTTCCTGGGCCTCAGTGTCATCATCTATGAAACCTAATGCAGTCTGCAAGCATTAAGTGCTATATGCCACTGCACCCCCAAGAGGTGCCCCTGCCCACCATATCTCCCAGGGACATGGGCACACTGCCCCTGCCACTCACGTGATCACAACAGGGGCCACTTTGTTGGGGATGATGGACTTGGCCTTGCTGTTATGCAAGCTTGTGGTCTGGAAGGAGTGGACGCTGACGGAGTGCCGACCATCCATCGTGCCACTTCCCTGGAGGCCCTCAAAGGGGCTGCCTGCCGAGACTGTCTGCTGGGCTGTGCTGGCCGTTGTACCCATAGTCTGCCAGCAGCCTCAGGACCCCAGACCTGTGAGATAAGAGGGTATGCAGTGAAGGCGGGGACAGGAAAAGCCACAGCAGGAAACCTGACCCACCTCTTGCCCTCCACCACACAGAGAGAGGCAGCTCACTTGCCACCTACACCCTGGGGCCCCGACCATATGCTCACTGAGTGCCTGCTCCATGCCCAGCCCTTTATCAATGTTCTGGGTGAGTCACGGACGTAGACGGACATAAAGATGCGGCCCCCAACCCCTTTGGTTTACACTCCTCTAGTGAAAATGAGACAGAAAGAGGTGAAGCATCCACAGCAGGTCAGGTTCACTGAGTTCAAAGTGATTGTTTCAGGTGATATCGACAAAGTCCAGACCTTCCAGGCTAGGAGAAGTGGGAAATGTCACTGAGAGAGGAGAACCAGGAGCAAATAGATGCAAAGAGGGAAGTCAGACTTGGGTTTGAAGACTTTGGATAGAAATAGGATGCAGGGGCCGGGCGCGGTGGCTCAAGCCTGTAATCCCAGCACTTTGGGAGGCCGAGGCGGGTGGATCACGAGGTCAAGAGATCGAGACCATCCTGGTCAACATGGTGAAACCCCGTCTCTACTAAAAATACAAAAAAATTAACTGGGCATGGTGGTGTGTGCCTGTAATCCCAGCGACTCAGGAGGCTGGGGCAGGAGAATTACCTGAACCCAGGAGGCAGAGGTTGCGGTGAGCCAAGATCACGCCATTGCACTCCAGCCTGGGTAACAAGAGTGAAACTCCGTCTCAAAAGAAAAAAGAAAAAAAAAAGAAATAGGATGCAGGAGGACATACAGCCACAAATGTCATAAAATAAGACCAGGGAAGTCCAAATTAGGTGAGCTCTCAGCAGATCAAGTGTTCAAGAAAATACCAGGCCCCAAACTCAGCATCAACATCAATATCTGAATTGGTGGCCAGGCACAGTGGCTCACACCCATAATCCCAGCACTTTGGGAAGCCAAGGCAGGGAGATCACTTGAGGCCAAGAGTTCAAGACCAGCCTGGCCAACAATGGTGAAACCCATCTCTACTAAAAATAAAATAAAATACAAAATTAGCCAAGCATGGTGGCCTGCACCTAAAATCCCAGCTACTCCAGAGGCTGAGGCATGAGAATCACTTGTACCTGGGAAGTGAAAGTTGCAGTGAACTGAGATCGTGCCACTGCACTCCAGCCTAGGTGACAGAGTGAGACTCTGTATAAAAAAAAAAATCATCTGAATCAATATCAATATCCTCAATAGGCATAGCTTCCACCCAACTTGAAGAACACCGGGCACCCTCAGGGAGTCGGCAGTCCCTCCTGCAGGGCTCCCTCCTAAGGAAATACTTTAGGATGTGTGCACACAGTGGGGTACCATGGTGTTTTGTTGACTGGGGTGTTGTGTATAATCACACAACTCTGGAAACCACCTGCAGTCCACAGCAGAGGATCTGCTGAATACATAATAAGACATCTATAGGGTAGAATGCCAAACAGCCACTACAAATATCATACTGGCTGATGTGGAAAGACACCTAGGACAGAGTGGGCTGCATAGCAAGTGCAGGCCACACCCCCAACTTAACTCACAAAAGGCATCAGGAAGAGTCCAAGGGACAGACACCAGGATGCTAGCATGAGTTATCTGCAAGTGATGAGATTATAAAAGATTTGTATTTTCTCTTCTTTGCGTATCTGTATTTTTTTTTTTTTTTTTTTTTTTTTTTTTTTTTTTTTTTTTTTTTTGAGACGGAGTTTCACTCTTGTTGCCCAGACTGGAGTGCAATGGCGCGATCTCGGCTCACCGCAACCTCCGCCTCCTGGGTTCAGGCAATTCTCCTGCCTCAGCCTCCTGAGTAGCTGGGATTACAGGCACGCGCCACCATGCTCAGCTAATTTTTTGTATTTTTAGTAGAGACGGGGTTTCACCATGTTGACCAGGATGGTCTCCATCTCTTGACCTCGTGATCCACCCGCCTCGGCCTCCCAAAGTGCTGGCGTATCTGCATTTTCTAATTTTTCTCCTCTGAAAACTGGGTTAAAGCCTATTTCAAGAATAAGAATGGCTGGGGAAGATGGCTGGGACATCTTTTAAGGGCGGGTCAAGGGATGGGGGAGGCGTGGCTCAGGGGTCCCAGAGCCAGAGCTACAGAGAAGACAGAGGCCTGGGAATTCCACATGGACAGAGAGTGACAGACAGGAGGGACAGAGGCTAAGGGCCCTTTCTGGGAGCTCAGTGGCCACTAGCCCCACACAGCACTGATGGTCCAGGACTGGGGGTGAGGGCAAGCTGTCCTGCCAGCCCCCACCCCTTGACTCTGCAGAAGCACAAGGACAGTAAGCACCCTTAGAGTACAGCAACTTCCCCAGCTGCCCTCAACCAGGCACAAGCTGCCCTGCATGCACACTCCCCCGGCCCCCCATACAAACAACCACACTGCCCCAGCCCTCCCATACAAACAACCACAACTCCCCCGGCCTCCCATACAAACAACCACACTCCCCCGGCCCCCCATACAAACAACCACACTGCCCCGGCCTCCCATATAAACAACCACACTCCCCCGGCCTCCCATACAAACAACCACACTCCCCCGGCCCCCCCATGAGCAGCAGCATCACCTCAACAAGTGCAAGGTGGGGTCACAGGGTCAGCACGAAGCTGGGGTCAGGTCAGTCTGAAGGCTGTGCTCACTGTCCTCTCTCCCCAGGTCCTGAACCAGAGCTCTGGTCCCCAGGTGGGTGCTCCCTAGGCCTCCTCTGCACCGTGCACTCAGGCTCCCACCCTAGAGCCACCTCCCATTTGGGGACTCTCAGAGAGAACAACTCCAGACTCACAGGCCCTCCCAGAACCTTCTCAAACAGCCACCCATCCCTCTCCAATCTGGAAAGATCCCCCCACCCCCACCCACGCCTGTCACCCTTGAAAACTCCCAGGAGCCTTGTGACAGGTTCGTGAACACACACACCTTGTGTTTATAAAAGCCTCATCTCCCCGATGCTCCACATCCTAATTTCTCCCTCTCTTTCTCTCTTTTTGTCAAGGGTGGAGGGAATGAGCCTCTTTGTTCCCAAACAGAAAAACAGGCAGCTCAGAGAGGAAAGGGAGCTCCACAGTGGACCCCTCACTGGCCAACGTCAGAGCGGTACCTTCTCTCCACTTCACCAGCCCTGGCAGGCCCCAAACAGCCCTCATCAAACTTTCCCAGACCCCTCCCAGCAGCCTGGGCCAGGGAGATACGTGTGGGAACAATCTGGAGAACAAGGGCTCAGGGCAGCTCTCCTGAGGGAGAGAGGATGGGCAGGACACAGAAGGGCCTGCAGAAGGCAACAGCTGGCCACAGCTTCAGGCCAAGGCCAGGCCCCAGGGCCAGTCCCCACAGGACTGGGCTCCGCCTGACACCTCCACCTCTCCTCCCCTGCCTGCCCCCGGCTCCAGTTCCAGCCACCCTTGCCTCTCATGGCTCCAGAGGCAATGACAGGCTACAGCCGGTGCCCTGCAAGGGCGGCCCAGAGACGACACAGATGTGCACAGCTGCAGGCTGCAAAGGTAGAACAGGCAGCTGGGGGTGGGAGGAAGGCAATGTCCTTTGAAAACCAGGCTCACCTCCAACATATCTAGAGGGGGGTGCAACCCCGGACTTGTCACTCTGTAGCTCTCACCCTGAAATCTCTCTCAACTCTGCCAGAAGGAACTTCACCACGCAGGCCTTCCTCCTGCTGGCCACACACTGAGGGGCCTTGGGCCACTTCCTTCCCTTCTCTGGGCCTCAATGTTCACTGCAAAATGATAGTGAGGGGTGGGATGGTCTGAACGTCCCTTATAGCTTCAGAGGGATCTGGCACCTAAGATCAGTGATCCCAGTGGTCACAGTACTGCTGTTGCCTGCCAGGGACAGGGGTTAGCAAGAGTGAGGGTATAGGTGGGGCGCCTAGCGCTCAAACCTCTGCTAAGGAAAGCCAGGGGGAAGTGGGTTGGGATGAGATGTGCCTGCATGGTTGGTGAGTGGTTTATGCCTTTATTTCCTACCCTCTAACTCTCCTTCGGTCATGAGTGAGAGCTACCCCTGCAGGGACAGCAGAGCGTGAGGCAGTGCCACGGAGCTCACAGCTGTTTTCACATCACATCGCGGTGGGATCTGGAAATGTCACTTACGGTACCACTCTTCTAAACAAGTCCTTATCAGACACACCGGGGACCACGTGAGCCTCCAGTCCCCTGCCCACAGGTGCTGGGCTGATACCCTGGCCAGCTTCAGGCAACTCCACACCTGGTGCTCTTAAATCACTCCCCACTCCCTCTATGGGTTCTCACGATTCACATTAACTCTGAATGTGTGCAGAGCAATGCCTGGATGGCCCAATGCACAGCACAGCAAGGCTTCAACTCCTCAGCTGCCCTGATCTCACCCCCACACCCAAGCCAACCCTGCACGGAACTCCCAGCAACCACCCGCTGCCACAGACGAGAACCTTCAGGACCAGGACTAGGACTAGGACCAGGGGCCTTGCCTCAAGCACCATCTGTGAATGGCCAGCAGTCCTTGGCTCTCATCACAGGCGGCCAGCAGGGCAGAGCCCTCTCTTAGCAACCACGATCATCACTTTCCTCATTCTGCTTTGTCTGGTAAGCCATTCGTGGTGGTTCCCATCTGCTCCTGGCCTTCCTCAAGAACCAGAAGGAGGCCAGGCGTGGTGGCTCACACCTACAATCCTAGCACTTTGGGTTGCCAAGGCAGGTGGATCACGAGGTCAGGAATTTGAGACCAGCCTGACCAACATGGTGAAACCCCGTCTCCACTAAAAATACAAAACTAGCTGGGCATGATGGCACGTGCCTGTAATCCCAGCTATTCAGGAGGCTGAGGCAGGAGAATCGCTTGAACCTGGAAGCCAAGGTTGCAGTGAGCCGAGATCATGCCACTGCACTCCAGCCTGGGTGACAGAGCAAGACTCCGTCTTAAAAAAAAAAAAAAAAAAACCTCTCCCCTGGGCCCTGGGACAAGTCCTCCACCCCTCAAA